TTCGTCAGGCCAAGTGACTAGGTCCCGAGGTCGGTTGAGATTTAAGGCGGAAGGAGAACCAATCAGCTAAGTCAAGCTAAATCTCTGTTGGGTGTCGCCCGAGGGGTTTTAGTGTGTTAGAGTGGTTGAAAAAGTGTTGGGTCGGTGGGGAAACCTACATGTGTTTGGGTCCAGCTTAGGGTCTAGTTCTTCTGGGTTCGGTTCATTTGGTGATTCTTCTTGAACTTCGTTTGAACCTTCTGTCAGTCTGTGTGGGTGAGCTAATGCTAAGATAGCTGTGTAAGAGGGATGCCGTGACCTTTGGTCGGTTGGGGCTTCCATCCGCAACCCCCGGTTTTTTCTAATGATCCTAAATGGATTGAAAACCACAACGTCAAGTGTCTACTCGGCTTATCTAGGACCGCTTTTTAGACGCTCGCTAGCTCCACAACCTTGATTCTATTCACGCTGTAATGCGTAGTAATTACCACCGCCTCGGCTATCAGCCGCTGTGGTGTGAATCGCAGTCCCCGTCTTACGATTCCTAACCAGATATTTGATTGGGTCTGTTGTTATCAAATTCCTGAAAGTAACCTGAGAACTCCCGAAACCTATTGAGACCCCAAAAGTCTACCAAAATCTCAATAAGGAAGCCGGCATGCATCCACGCCAATCAAACATTTAATCAATTCAGCAAAAGCCGATGAGTGTTCAGACACGCCACAGAAGCATGACCAAATGTGATCAGCGTTCAGGCATTTCATGGAGCCACGATCGATGTTGATGAGTGTTCACGAAAGTCTATCAGACAGCCTGGATCGATTTCAAAAACTGCTCTTTAAATAGTACGGGGTCGTCGCAACTTTTGCACTCGCACGCACTTGCTTGTTGCAATAAGGCCGTTGTGTTCCTTGTCGGCACCAGGCACTGGAGCGAGAACAGGAGTCACATATAACAGTTGGCGGCCCATGTATAATTGTGACGACGGACTTGAGTGGTGATGCCAGAGGATACACTAGGTACTAAATTCGCCATTCATTTCGGCTAAATATTTACTGAGTTACTTCAACAAGTGCTTTGTATTCGCTCTAACCGTTCTGGGTCAGCAATGAATTTCGCTCATCCTAACTACTGCATTTATGCGTGGGCTGCTGATCGCTTCATACTATCATTATGAACCGAAATCGGTCGTTATAATGAACTGGTAAAAAGCGTATTGAGCATAGCACAGATATGCCTATAAACCTCTGGGAATTTTAGGGGTTCTAAGGCTTGTCTATCTAGATACTCTATCAGTTATTTGTTCCAACCACTTCCGCTTATGGTCTATATCCTCAGTTATGGACAGGTAGGTGATCAAGCGATGAATCCAACCTTTTAGCCAGTCACGTGACCAATATCCCAAACAAACAATTGCTGACTCAGTGCGTATTTTAAGGAGTAAATAACCAGAAAAATCGTCAGTGTTAGCGCAGGGGAGAGGAATTATATCTGGAACGTAAAAAGGCAAACACGAGAGGAAAATGTGATATACTCCACCGTATTTTTTAGCGAAGACTCGTGTGACATATTTTGGAAGAGGTGGCGAACAGTAAACACATTAGACATAATACATGACAAAGACGGATGATTGAATCCACAGCGATTACTGGGAGGATCGATAAAACTGAAATGAAGACTCTTTAGGATATTTGTGATCCAAATATTGCTGTCGAAATCCGAACGAATTCAGGGTGCGGTTCCCACGGTAAAAAAAGTAGAACCGACAGGACAAACTGGCAGCTCTGAAGGCTTGGTCGCTGTAAATATGCCGTAGAACAGTTGCACTGTAACTAAGTAGTTTTATCCGAGGTTTCATTCAAGGTTTGCTTTCGCGAGTGAAGTCAGTCGAAGCGGAAACCTGAGAAGCATTGCACAGCTATTTCATCGTTAGTGAGAATAATCAATAGTATGCGGCTGCGCAATGTTTCCGACATCCCGGCTAGTAGTTGAACAATTAACCGCTCCTTATGGAGTGGCAGATCAGCAGTGTAATTAAATCGTATTTACATAGTACATAGTGCAGCTTATCCTACAACCAAGAAATCGACATCACACCGTCACGTGTTAGCTGGCTTCTCCCGTGAGGGCTTCTCCGATGTAGCTTCACGCAACGTGAATCATTCTTCGTTTCTGGACGGCTTACCACCAGCAGAGTATGTAACGGTTCAGAGTGAATCCTCCCCCTCAAATTCAACGTAAAATAGTTACTAAGTAGGGACGACAGTGATTGTATTGCTTCCCATGACATAAACATAGGATAACGAATTTCTTTGTTCTACTTTCTTCCCGCTTGGCTACAAGTGTCCCTTAGAACGAATCGATGATCCACGTAGCAAGCCCCTCTTACCAAATTATCTAAGCGAAACAAACTGTCTGGTGAGTCATGTTCTCGAGATACTGGAGAGTTCGGAATGAGATTATCAGATGGTCAGATGTGCAAACAAAAATATTTCTACCATGTCACTAACAAGGCTCACTCCTACCTCACTCTGCTTTGATTGGGATCACGCAAATATCTTTCGGCGATGACAAATGTTGATGAATGGGGACTTTTTGAGAGTTGGTGCGATTATTCGTAGTGTACGGTGCTGTGTTATAGTAAGTAATCTGATTATGAAGCCCAGTTTTGAATATTTCAGAACACATGAACACTGCATTCTTACTTAAAAAGCGATCTGGAACATTGGGTCACCGACAAGAAGGAAGCGTGGTTTCGAGGCATAATCGATGCAACAAGAGCACTAATTTAATTGTTCCCGGATGGGGCGAAATGTGTGTCTAATCCATTCAGACAACTGCTGGTAAAGTTAACTTGGCGCGACCAGTGACGATGTGTTATTTTTTGTATTCTGAAAGTTTAATTTATCTATAATTGCTGCATGTTGTTCCTCCCCATAAAAGTACGAGTTGGAGTCACCTGCTTTGTTCAGTTGAAACATTATATGTATTTTGGACCAACAGGGTCAAGATAGTCCGGTGGTTACTTACTGACTGAAAGATCTGTGATTGAAACGCAACCCAAGCACCTTTCTGGTCCAGGCTTGGGCAACCTCGCAGTATCTCAGCCCTCGTGATCCCTTCGGTTAGGGCCGCAGCTATGCACCAAAAGCATGCTGTAACTGAGCAATTAAAAGTTGTCACTCGTTTTGTGGCAAGCAGCTTACTAACTGGTCAAAAAGGAAAGTTTCCTTTTGGTGCTGTTTTGCTCCGATCCATCCAGAACTGCAAAATTCACTAAACGTATGGTCTTTGAGTTTGAGGAACACGTTCTGGAACTGAGCTTGCATTTTCAATCATTTGAAGATTTCCGGTGGAAACAGTAATTACAGTGCGAATTCGTAACTTTTGATTGGGGTTTAAACAGACTACATAAGATTATGAGGCTCTTTCATGTTTATCTTTGTACAGAAAACTTTCAGTATATCTTGAGAATTTTTTTTGAAAGTGGGATTTATTTAGCGGAGGCATTTTCAATTTTATATCAGATTCTATTGCCAGCTGTTTTTCTGTTTTCCAGCTGTCCGGCTTTCAGTATATCTTGAGAAGTTTTTTGAAAGTGGAATTCATTTAGCGGAGGCATGTTCAATTTTATACCAGATTCTATTCCCAGCTGTTTTTCTGTTTTCCAGCTGTCCGACAATCTTAACAGTGACTTCGAATTCACCAAAATACCTAGTATTAGGAGAACAAGTTCCGAACGTAACGGAACTACGTAACAGCCAGTGAAATAATCATTTTTCGTTGAGACAGATTTCATTGGTTGTTCTTCACTCGGCCTTGACAGATGAGTTGTATTCTTATTATCACTTGACCACGCGACAGTGATCAATAGAGCAGCTGGTCCGCACGTTCGCTGACTTTTTCTGGTTTTGGCCAAGCGCACCCCACGTTCGTTGACTTTTTCTGGTTTTGGCCAAGCGCACCAGGCGATCAAGCGTCTAACCCGACCGGGGTTCACGGTAATAAGAAGGCATTAAGGGACTGTGGTCCACAACATCTAGTAAACGTGATGCCCCAAACGATATGCAACCTGATAAAATTGTACGTAAACTTTTGTTGGATTATTGTAATTCAGTCCATTTGCTGGCTTGGTCTCTGGTGCGCTAAAATCAGACGGTCTCATCAAAATAGTCTCCAACTGTACTAAGCCTATATCTGGGAGTGTAACCACCTCGAGATTATGCAAACGTGAGACGGAAGTTTCCCGAAATAGTTTTGCAGGTCATCTTATCTACTGAAAAGATGAAGCTCCTGGCTGCTTATCGAAGAATACGGGGTTTTTTGCTTTCCGTTGCAATCAGCTGTTTATCCATGGAGATATTGATTTTCCCAATGGCACGAAAGACCATCTTTGTCAAAAAAGTGCCGGTCACATTGGAGAACGAATGGTATACAGGATTTGCCAACTAATATACAAAAAAATGCTAGTCGCATAACCTTTGTGGACGTCCGTAAGGTGCTGTGCATTTGAAACAAATCAACTATGTTAACTTTACAGTTTACTGCTAATCGCCGCATTCGATATGGACCCTTGATATGTCAGGTTGAGAGCACAAAGAGGTAACGGGAAAAGGGGTACACTGTGAGTCCCATTAAGAAGGATGTGGAAGAGGAATATGGAAAAATTTGTCCCATAGAAAACGGGGCCATTTGAAATGATTCAAAAAGTTATTAAATGTTTCTAGAAGATTAGTATTCCAGCTGTTGCCAATGGGTTGTGTCTCAACTCTGTGAACCTAAGGTCTACCTGAATTCTGAAGAGTGGAGAAAACGGGGCCATTTGAAGTGATTCAAAAGTTATTAAATGTTTCTAGACGATTAGTATTCCAGCTGTTGTTAATGGGTTGTATCTCAACTCTGTGCACCTAAGGTCTACCTGAATTCTGAAGAGTGATACATTAGACTGAAAATTCACCCAAGCTCAAAGGAACCATGGTAAACATCGTTTTAGATTTAAAAGACTTTTGAAGTAGACTTACCACTTGCTTCAGCGATTCCGATATCATGAATTGTGAAGCGATCCAAAGCGATAGCTTGACGATATACCACAAATACGCCACCTTCTGTCATGCTCCGAGTTACTACGGGGTTCTCAGACAAAGATTTCTGCAACGACATGCGGAAAAATGTGTAGACTGTGAGTAATTCCGGTATTTTGGGCATTCTTATCCCCTTGTATTAGGCATGTGTTGCATGCGCGGAAGAAGCTAGTGACACATCATAATTTGCTTGGGATGGGTTGATTTTTCCTGAGTGTTCTGAAACAGCGGAACTCCCGCATGTCAACCGGGTATTTTTACGTGTAAACCACCTGGGCATTCAGGCGATACCATCAAGGGAATGATTATTGGTCTCAAAAAGCGATTATTTGATTCATTAGGCAATTTGTGGCTGTCTTGTTTGGTATTCAGGTGTGTGTGTATACTACCATGATGACATGTATACACGGAATTAGGCACTCACAGTATGAAGGTGACGATAGACGTTTTATTTCAACTCACCTGGGTGGTTACCTCTTTCTTCCTAGGAGCGATAAACCAAAGAGTAAAGCCAAACTACCATGTTCCGGCCACTAGGTGAGCAAATGTCGTGACGGGAGCTCGCAAGTTAGTTTGTGGAGCCAATAGTGTATTATGATGTACAGATGCCAACTGTGTACACGTAATAAAGAACGTGGATAGAATTGTCAAATCTCGGCACGGTAATCATACACGAAGCAGATAAAAAGCGACGCAATGCAGTCATTTCAGCCAACATGCTTGGATTTGTTCAAGGATTGTGATCTACCATCGGGCCAACTGCAATTTGTCCAGTTGCAGCGGAATCTCACTAACTGGGTTTACAAAAATATATGTGTAAGTGAAGCTTTGAAGTTTCTTGAAATATCAATTCGGTGATGAGTTCATGGATCAAGATACAGAAAGCACAGTCAATCTACTGAAAACTGTAGGAAGCCGGAGCGATATATAGATTTTTCGAGTAATAGAGACTCTTCAGTATGCGGAAATAATAAGGTCGGTGAAATGCATCCTGATTAGCCTGTTCTTGGTCAGTTTGCAGAAAAAACAAATTGTGGTACATGATAGTGTCTAATAACCTTTTTTGAGGAGACGCAACTGCATTTACTGTAAGAAAGTAGAAAAAAGAGCTGATTTCTCAGTGGAGCGCGATTTTCAGATATATTATGTATACTAAATACGCATATGTAGTTGATCACTGGTGGCCAAGAGTCAGTGTCGTCTGTATCATACCAAGCCTAGTGAATCTAAATCACACTCAGATTTATGAGGCGAACCCCAGTTGTGGGACCATGAGCACAGTTGAGAAGCAATTGCTTTAGTGCATAATCGCATCTGACTGCGAGATCGATTCATGTCGGTCAGTGTTATTAACCTCAAATGGGACGTACCTCCCGAGGAATACAACAGCAAGGCTACAAACTGTCACACTCTTGGTGATTTCCGCTCAGAAAAGTGCTGGGAAAAATAAGCTGTGAGAGTAAGACAGTCTTTGACTTACTCATATTATGTGCGTTTAATAAGCCATGTCCAAAAAAGGCCAGCGTGGTAGAATTTTTGGGGAACAAATGGAAAACCGATTATCGGGACACAACGGGATCGCTGGTGAGCGAAGCAGGATTATTCAATCTAAACTTTAGTCGTAAGAAAAAAATAAACTGAAAAGCAAAAATTGAACTGGGGTATGTTTAAAACCCCTGTGGTATAGCTTCAACGGATTAAACAGAGATTTAGAAACAACCTCGTGGGGCAAATTCTCGGAATGCAGTTTCGAATGAATGCTGCCGCCGCCGCTCAAGTCGCCGTTTTGTTTTGACGGCTGATAGATAACCCAGTCTGTTGGGCGTACAACAGTCCCTATAGCTGGAAGTTCATGCCCAATTCGGAGTGGCGTAAACA